CACCTCCTGCCCTGTGACACGGCTCCCAGAGCTGCAGCTCCCTCACAGCCTCTCCAGGACTCTGCCAAGGCACAGGGGCCACAGAAATGCCACTGCCCTGCATTCACTGTCACTCCCCACTCGTTTTCCAGGTCCCTGCCCATTTTGCTCATTTTGTGACAGTATCTGCTATTCCCCCTCACCTCTTGTGGCACAGGACCCTCCCTAGGCTGAGCAGGTTTACTGACTTTGCCTTTTGATTTCTAACATTTTCCAGGCTCTTGACAGCCACTGGCATTGCTCCTGCTGGTACCCCCAGTGCAGCTGGGGCAGCTCTGCAGCCGCCTCCAGAGCACCCACTCCCGACTGCTGCAAACCACAGCCCAAATTCCAGCTGAAAGCTGCCAGCACCACTGTGATCTGGCAAACAGCTACACCTGCCACCTCCAGCTGCTTTGTGGGAACCGAGTAAAACCTGTGTGTCCGTCGTGCACACTTCTGTTTGCAGGGATTGTTGTTTTTATGGATATACTGATCTGCATTTTCAGTGCACTGAGCTCACACACTGAGCTGAAATAGCTGCTGACCAAAGAATGTCCCAAATGCTGCTTTACCAGAACCAAGGTAATTAACAGGCCAACAGACTCCATCTGCAATGCCTGAGGAACTTGTGATCAAAAAGCAGACCATGGGCTTTGTTTATTACATAAGAAGACAAAGCAGCTCTTGACCTGAGAGGAGTTGGGAGAAATCAGTGCACTGTTCCAGATGTAATCAGTCTCATACAGCACTTCAGAAAAGACTTTTCACTCAATATTAACCGTGGCTGCTAGAACACTGATCAACACTCCTGTTAAAGGAAAATCACTGTTACGAGCAAGATCAGCTGAATGAAAGGAGCCAAAACACAAAATACCAACAACCAAGAGGCCAGGGAAACAAACAAGCAACAAAAGCAACAGCCTGGCAGTTAACATTCCTTGATGAAAGGCTGTGCTGAGTGCCAGCCCCGTGTGGGGAAAGTTAAGTAGCAGTTCTGCTTGTGCTCCAAGGCACACACGCTCCTGTCAAGAGACAGGCTGTGAATCACAGGAAATGTGGAGTGCTAAATTAACATCTGAGCATAAGGGCCAGGAGCAGTCCCTTCCCTCCCCACGTTCCTCCGCAAGTTGTGCAGGATGAAGTCTGTGGACAAAGACAGCAGAGTCTGTTCCTTGGCAAGAAGAGCTGCACACGAGAATTGCAGAGAGAGATCTTTGTCTGGCACGTCAGCACAACACCCCCAGGACACAGAGGGAGCCTGTGCAGGCAGGGAGCGGGATCCAGAGCCCAGCTCTGCCACGCCAACAGCCAGCAAACAGAGCGCTTGGTTACACGTGAGACCCGCCAGGGACAGCGAGGCCCCAGCTGACAGGAGAGCCCTTCACCGAGGCCTGCAGGCTGTGTCTCTGCCAGCCCTGCCCGTGCCCCGAGCGTGGCAGCCGAGCCAGAGCACACTGGGCACTGGAGCCTGCGAGCGCTGCCGGGGCTGCTCCGGCACACACAGCCCCAGGCAGCGCAGAGCCAGAGCCGGCAGCCCACCAGCACAACATCCATGGTTACAGGCTGCCAACAGCCTCACCATGCGAGCAGGCACGGATAAATATAGGCTTTAGCAGCACCCTGACTGACAGAACGCACAGAAGGAACAAGGCCGCTCTGCTGCAAGGCATTCGCTCCAAACCTCAGCGTTTCCCAGAGATGCAAGAAGAACACATCCTGATTGGAGTCCAGTGTCTGCTGTTGAGACAAGAGAATGTTTCTGTCCATCTCCAGGGTCAAAACCTCACCCGAGGGAAGCAGCTACTCTGACCACTCGCTTGTACAAAACCCCTGACAGCACTAGGGAACAAACAGGGGGCAAACACACACACACAGAGACACACACAGAGAGAGACACACACACAGAGACACACACACACAGAGACACACACACACAGAGACACACACACACAGAGACACACACACACACAGAGACACAGACACACTGCACACACTGCACACACACACACACACAGAGACACTGCACACACACAGAGACACTGCACACACACACAGACACACACACTGCACCAGTGTGTGTGTCTGTGTGTGTGTGCAGTGTCTCTGTG